CCCCCCCCCCCCCCCCCCCCCCCCCCCGACTCTCGAGCCAAAATGCATGGAAGAAATACTCCCCAAAAACAGTCACCGAGGAGTTTAGTCATGAAAATGAAACGGGGAATAGGTTCCCTTAAATACGTTCAGGAAAATCGAACTTAGATTCAAAACTGTAGGATGAGGCGATGCAAAGAAAACTTATAATATGCAAGGTCGACATACGTTATTAGAGATGCTTAGCACACATTAGGCTGATCCATCACGATGATGCATTCATACCAATTAGCCTACGTCGATGAAACGCTGGAACAAGTTGATATTGCCTTCGAAGATTTCGACTAGGCATGACTTCAGTAAGACACCTAACAATGGCCCAATAGCTGGAGGGCTTGAAGGAAAGAGAAAAGGACACTGGCCACATCAATGGCGACACCCTCTTCCTCCTGTCCTAGAATACTAAGGAAGTTACGCTGTATCGTCTCATCCTATGACCTTTAAACTTACTTGAACTTTCTTAGAAATCCTTGAAAGGTCCTGTTCTCCGATTCATTATTAAATTCAGTGACCTTTATGGGGGATTTGTACTCCTTCTCCTAGTACTTCACCCCCCTCCTCCCCACCACTCTCTCCTCCTCCATCTATTGGAGAGTTCGGCAAATTATCTCTGTGAGTATTCATCCTAGGCCTTTGAAATCCTATTATGCTTCATGACCCACAGCTATGAGTTGTTGCATCGAATTTCATCAAGATAGACCAGTTCCTTCTTGGCGTTTTTTTTTAAGATTGCATGATCTCATAACTTGATATATTATTTGTGCACAGCTCATGGAGCAAGAAGACAACATGAAGGAGAAAGACTGAAGTTTGAGGCCATTGGAGACAGGTATCGATGTCATTGTGGAGGTGTGAAGAATATCCTCTGCCTGAGGGTGGAAGTGTAGGAGGGCATCTGTCTGAACCCATCGGGAGTCTGGTAATGCCTTGCCACTCGTGCTCCCGCGAGGGTCAACATTCCCACGAGGTCTTCCACCTGAGAGTGCTCTGCCAGGACATCACAAAGAGTCTGGATGTACCACGAGCCCATGTTTCCATCTCGATGGGCCACATAACCTGTTCGAACATGGAAATTGGTGATGGTGAGCCTGCTCATTACTCAAGCAATTGCATTGAAACTTGTGTCATCTGCACAAGGAGTGCAACGAAAAAACTAGATATTATCGAAGCATTAAGTCCAGTACGCCTGTGTTTCCCAAAATTTCGAACAGAGAATCAGATACCAGATAGCAGGATATTTCTCAAAGATATTCAAGTGATTCATTTAGAAATTTCACCATTGGGGGACAATTTTTTGTACTAAGCGATAAATTATATGCCAAGTAAGAAAAGCTGAATGTCTCCTGCAGAATATTTCTCTGACTACATAAAGTACGACGTAATTTCTAAGAGCCCCCCCCCCCCCCCCCAAAAAAAAAGAAAGAAATCGCCCTACTTTTCCAACTTTGACGAGAACATCGATGTTCTCGTCAAAGTGATGGCAAAGTGATGGCACGCCAACTGGCAAAATGACACATAGGAGGCCAAGGAAAGCCAAAACAACTATATTCGATTCTGTTCAAATGATTTTTCCGAAGATCCACGAGCCATTCACTTCATATTTAATTTATCCCAATCTCTTCTGTCATGAAGTGGCCATAACCAATCTCCTACGAGTTTCACGCCTGGCAAGGTAACGAAGGGATAAAAAGAGCAATTCCTCTGGTTGGGTCTATCAGTACCATTTTCTTCTTTGTTACCCTTGGAGCCACCTTCTCTGAAAAGGGTCTCTGGAAGGTTACTTAGTTCATTCGAAGAAATCCAGCGACGTGATTGGGAATGGACTCTTTTTAGGTGGGGAAGTAAAAATTGTGTGCCACCAGAGTAGATCTATTCAAGAGCCAGAGCATCGTTCAAACTCGTCCGTTGTGCCTCCCACTCTTCCTGATAATGTACCGTACCCCAATGAGGGCAGCAGCGACACTGGCGTTGAACGGCAACTGATATAGACGCATCCAGAACTCATACCAGACGCTTTGCGCTCACCTTTTCAACTCCGGTCATGGGAGGAGTGGGGCTCCATCTTGCCTCGAGATTGCCTTTTGATTGGTTCTTGCTAGCGAGTACTCGCTTGAAGTTTGAAATCTTTCAAATTCGTAGCGAGTGCTAGCGAGTGCTAGCGAGTGCTAGCGAGTGGGGTGTTACACTAAGTGAGTGGCTCTAGCGAGTACTCGCCTAGTGTAACAGGGCCTTAACTTATTTATCGATTATTTAGTGGTGTCAGAGAAAATAATCTTCAGAACTCTTGGTTTCAACTTCATGACCAAGCACTAAAAGATTCAGAAATCCATTTGAATTCGCTGGAGTTCTTTCCAGAAAACTTGAATTGAGTACCAATCTGATGAAGTAAAATATAAATTTGATTCCCGCCACTCCTCCTTAACCCAAATTCCATCAAATTGGAATCGAATCTCGATTCGGAAGTGACCCATTGGAAAGCTCTCATTCGGCATTTCCAAAAGACATGGGGTTATTTGACTCTCAAAGAGCCTGCGTAATAGAGCTTTCAATTTCTATCGCATCGCCTTGGAATTCTGAACAGCCCAGGAAAGTGATGCGATCGGAAGGAGGGTGCAAAACATATATCGACTGTGTTTAAATGAGTAGCAAACATTTTCCCAGTCAAACCATTCGATATGATAATAATAACGAAACTCGATGGAAGATGTGCTGTCTCGATTGTAGCATTATGGGTTTACACAAAGATGACATGCTCCTGGACAGGGCCTTCCCATTAGAAATAAAATAGGCCTATGTCTGTGCAGTGAAGACCGTCGAGAAGTGTATAATACCTCAAGTCCCTCAAGTGCCCTCCAGGTTTCCAAATAAATCGACTTTCAAATGGATCCAATCGATACCAAAGTAGATATTACTTGGAGCACCGGCTGGGTACAAGACTAGGAGCATTAAAAAACCTCACCACGTGTAAAGTCGTGGTCATTTCATAGTTAACCCTTTTAGCGCCACCGTCGACGTTTGGCGACTTGAGTTACCCCTTCAAATTTAGTGCCCTAGAGTCCAAAAAGTTCATCAATAAAAAGTTCCAACCATCACCAATAGATGGCCTCTGTGTTTATCCATGCTTTGAAAGGTACCATATTGTGAAGGACTTCAAATTGTGCCATCTGGACGTAGAAGACTAGTTTGATTAGTTGGTGTTCACTGGATGCTGGAGTCCGCTGGTGCTAGTGGTAGGTAATATTTAGATGAATAATTATCTCAGAAAACAAAATGTGTAAGAGAGATGTCTAGTGCGCTTTTACTCAAAATAAGTGAAGCCAGTGTGAGCAAATCAGTAAAAAAAAGGTGAATTTTTGAAGATTTTTCAAGAAATCCAAGATGGCCGCCATTTGATGACATCATATATGCAAATTATGTTAAAAAATTATTTTCCCAATAAACTATAAATCATGCTTAATAACTTTTTCCAGTGCAGCAAATGTCTATCTACTCCTTGAGTAGCTGCAGGCTCCTAAAATAGGCATTATCAATTTCAGCAATTTACAACAATATTTGGCGCTTAAAGGGTTAATCTGAGCAATAAATCTGGCGTGTTGAAGCAAGACTTTTATTATGTTCCTGTTTGTCTTTTAGCATCCATGTGGTTCCCCGTCCCACTCAATAAATGTTAGGGCATTTTGGAACCCCTACACATTCGCGTCCTTAGAAGACCTTCATCGTTAAAGTCTGAAATGGGGGAGAAAAAAATTCCAGTCGCTCGCTAAAATCTTGGTGCATAGAACAAAGAGAAAAAAGAACACTGCTGGCCTCACAGTAACATGCTGTCCGAGTTTTAAAAATTGACCTTGGAGGAGGATGCATGTCGCAGGGGTACATTGAAACAAAAACAACCTGGGTGATACGAAAAGCAAGAAATGTAACCTGGGACAGATGCTTTCGATATGAGGAAATCCGCGTGGCTGGGTATGGTGTTGTCTTCCCCGATGATGTCAGTGGATATCGGCGGGGAGGTCCCGCTCGACTGAGTTGTCGGTCCAGCTGCTGCCATTGCTTCATACCCCTCGCAAGCCTGCATTTACACGTCTAGATATATCATCCACTTAATCCATTTGTGCATTTACCAAAGGAAGATGGAATACAGCCGAGTCGTGTCGAAAAGACTCCAGAGAGTCTCATTCCAAATAGTCTCTCTCTTTGTAATTCAGCGCATAAAAGCTTCATAAAGAAAAGAAAGAATGATCCACAGCGGAATTCGTTGAGGTCTTGACTATTTCACCTCATTGCTTGAAAAACGTTCATTAATTCAGCATATAGTTTAGCATTTTCAATTTCGACGGCTTACAGAACGGAACTATGGCACACGGCATTTGCAGAAGGGGACTTCGTTGAATAGAAAGTGAAACTTAGAATCCTCCCATCTGAAAAACTTTCAAACATTATCAATTTCTCTAGTGAAATTCTGATCACTTCTGTCGTGAAACACAGAAGAACCATCAATTAATTAAAAGCATACTTCTTAAACCAATATCGTAGCACCACCAGATTACTCGTTATCAATTTTCTTATCACAACTGCAGGGAAGGACGGTCTGACCTGCACGAAGAAGAGCTTGGGTTTCCCCCACAACAAAGGACATCTGTTGGGGATGAAGCATTCCCACAATTCCTGCAATAAGAGAGTTCTATCTACCGCCTCCAGCATCCCGTGTCTCCCTCCATGACTCATGAACACCACCACCAAACAATCATCTTGCGCGAGGTCCGGATCTCTCGAAGCTACATGATCAAAATATTCGGAATTGAGCCTAAAGGCGAAGAATAAACATGAACTGATGAACCGAAGATTGCCCCCGTTTTTGCCGAATGTGGTGACGTCCCAACCTGGAGGAGGTACCCCAAAGTGACAGATTCATGCATGCAACAAAGGGTGATGCACTAGTTTAACTCACTTCATCTGCAGTTCAAATAATCTACTAAGCGTTTTCAGATGACTTGATCCAGAAGAGCTAGATAGACTAATATTTGGCCTGCTAGATCACAGGGGTTGTTATGTATTGCACGAATATGGTTAACACCACAGAAATGTGACCTCAATGATGATCGTGCGAGCGACATATAGTGGAGATTGATTTTATGGTTAACATTTTATATTTACATTTTCAGAATTTAAAATGCATGGCAAGCACGCGCTTCCATGCTTCAAAACTACAGGATGTGCTAGGCGTCATCACCGGTATTCCTTTTTCTCTATCATGCTTCCAGGCAAGATCAGGTTGAATTCGAACGCGATTTTATTTTATTTTTAAATTACTCAGTACCTAGGAAAATTACCCTGCTGAAATTTGGCATGACTCTTTAACGGTGCTAATTCTTCAAGCATGCCAATCCTTTAGCATAGCATGGTGTGGTATGGTTATAAAATTATGATATCCAAGTTTATTTAAAAGTTATAGACAATCGTTTAGACATGGATGCACTCCTTTAATTTCAAATTGGAAAACAGTTGCAGTCAATAGATGGATATCTTTGAGAGCTTTTGAGTGAGGGATGAAATGTTTATTTCTTCCCCAGCTTGAATGGTTTCTGAGAACTTTCATCGAGAACTTAATGATGGAGGATCCGCACTGAAATAAATTCAGGTGTAAAATATACTATATCCAGAGAACCACGAGTATGATTTTGAAAAATGTTTAGCATCATGTTTTTCCTCGATGGGGCAAGCGTCCAGGCCAAAATTCGTGGATGGATCTCGTGAAGAGAATTCACGAGATCCATCCCGCAAATTTTATCTAAATTCTAAACAACTGAGAATAAATGCCCCAAACACCTTCCCCGAGGAGGGCAGAATGTGAAAACGGTAGGACACTCCCGATCCATCTGCATCACCCTTGTCCTTCGATTTTTTTTGGAAGCAAGTAAACTTGAAACGCGGGAAATCCTCAAAATTTTTGAGGCACCCTCGTACTGCCAGGCCACGATTTCAGATGGGAAGTCTTACCGTCTTCTAGGATATTGTCGACCTCCTGACGCGTTTTGTTTCTATGGATGATGGGCGTGAGCTGGAGACTTCCCAACACTTCTTGGAGACGAGCCACATCGTGTTCTGAACCCTGTCGTTCGGGGATCTTACGGTGTTCGGCAAACTTCTCCACATTGAAAATCAATGCCTTCCCCCTTCGAACTCTCAAAACGCCATCGTCTGTTCTGCAAATTAAGCCGCCAGGAATCGATGATGCGAATTCATTTAGTATATAATTGGCGAGGCCAGTTGCAGGTTCTCTTCTACTTGTGCAGAATATCAAATTAATGTGCCAATTTGAGTCAATTGTCTTTGACAGCTGACTATCGGGATTACTCGAAAAACATGAAGCTATTAATATAATTTGTTAGAACAAAAAAATTCACTTTTTGGAATCTCAGTTTCTAGAAAGGGTGACTTCATGGGTTTCGGGCATTATTCAGCAAAGCAGTCTTGCTGATGATCCTTGTCCATAAATGAAACCCTACTTTCCTGGGGTTTAGAGCTAAATTCCTGAGAAACCCACGCCCACCTTGGTAATCCGCTGGATACACCGGAGGAAGGAGGAAGTTGAGCAGAAATGGGACTGGCATCTCGATGAATAGTAGGGGTGGTTCCCTCGCTCCATTGGGCCCTGAAGAATGAAAGGAATGAAGGCCGGTAATAAAAAAAAAAGTATTAAAAAATCTCCACGCTTAATTTCCCCTGGAAAATAGTTTAAACGCTGTCCCCTGCAATAACGTTCAACATTAGAACTGGTGGTGATGTGCTCATTCATCGACACTTTAGTCTTGAAATTTAGCACGTGAAGTGATTACGGGAGTGAATTCATTCGTGAATTATTTCCCAGGTCTCTTGCGAGCCTCCTTTTTTAAATATAATATTCCTTGAACAATAGGCCGAAATATGGAGGCGGGGCAGTGAACCACAGTAGTGGACCAGGGGAGGATTCGTATTATGCCATTCGTACTATGTAGGGATCGTGCACACACGTACCATGTACGCACTAACATCTTGGAATTGAGACTGTTACAATTGCCAGTGTATTTGTAGTGTCAATTATGTCAACATATGGGCATTACTAATACGCAAAAAAATACTTCTCTGATGCAATTTAACGATTATGAAAATCGAAAGCTATACTTATGACCTAGTGTGATAGGAAAGGATGATCGTTTAAGAGCAGCAATGCGCGGTCTTGCCTGTCATCACAGATTTATCATCGCTTTTATAGATGCTTCGCCCGTCATCGATAGGTCATTGCTATCACCTCCTGGCTCTTATCGATATACAAGGTATTCTCCGGAAAAATATAATGGTTAGACTTTTCCTGGAAACGTGTCTCATCGAGACATCGCCCTACCAAGTTTACAGGGTGATTATAACTTAAGTATCCCACCTGAGAGCAATAAAGCGCCTAAACTATGAGGTGGAGGAGGAGCTGTGCGATGCAGAAACAATGCACTTGTCATTTATTAATATTTCAATGATTGAAAACTTCTGTTATCAAATTCGTCTAGGCAAAGGCTGCAATATTTGGCAGTGGTTTTTTTTCAGTGCAAACAATATTTCTTTTTCCGCTTCAAAGGAGTTGCATACCTTGCAGTAGATGGCGTTGGCAACTGTACTGGGAAGGATCCTGGATAAATAAGAGCTGAAATGAATAGAAGAGGATAAGTAATTATCTATTCGAGATGCAGATCCACAAGAACTCGACGAAACAGGACGTGAGATCATCTGCGAGTCAAAATACCTCGCAAGTCTCTTGCGGCTCCTTCGTGTAAATCATGGAGCGCCTCGAGAAAGAGCGGTTGGTATTTTATGGGATTTTTGGAGTACAAGATCGCAAATATCTCATCAAAGCGGTCGTTTGGATCCTTCTTGCACTTGATGGTCTTCTCTTCGATAGCCGTGAAGACGCTCCGGGAGACCAAGCCTTCGAACAACTTATCGCCATCCACTTCGTATTGATCTCTCAGCTTGGACTTGTTTTGTCTGATGATGTTCCAGTTCCTCAGTGGCTCGCTCATCATGAAGGTCTTATATGGGCTGGGCGGATTTTCGGGGCTCTACCGAAGGCTTTCGAACTGAAGGAGTGAAACGAATAAATTCATGTAAGCAAGATCCTTTCTGGGGGTTCCTCTTAATCCTACATTGCTGCATAAATAATAATTTGGAGAACGCGACGCGAAACCTGACGATGATTTTCTTCTCGCCTGTGTGCCGCTCCGCGTCCATTCCGAAGCGTCCACCGCCGAGTTCACGTTTCACCGCCCCGAAAATATCCGCTTCGGGCGTATGCGGGATGGGGAAGAACCTCCCATCCGCGGGCCGACGATTCTTCTGACTGTCGATCGGGCAGCGCGAGGACGAGCATCACCGAGTAGGAAAATAACACACTCGGTCTGCTGTCCTGGCCGCGAACGGCCAATCGATTCTTCCAGTTTCTGGAGAATCGAACGGTACGCTTCAGAAGTGAATGTCGTGCCTGGTTCCACGAAGTCGATGAGCGAAACACCCTCCCCATTCTAAAACGCAGTAGCCATAACCTTGCCAGCCGACCGAACAGCCATCGACTTCTTCGGCGGTGGCGATGATGTGTCTTTCCACGTCGGGGATCCTCTCTTTCATTTAGCAATTTATTTGTTCATAGGAGACGAATAACTTTTCGAATTTCTTTCAGCGTACATGTTTTAAGCATGGCAACCATCTTGTACCAGCTGTCTGTCACATGACTGCAGCAACTGCAAGTCGACCCTCGGCGGACCATTCTTGAACTATAGCACTACGTGTCAATATTACGCAATTATTGGTCTAAATATTATGCAATCATTTCTTAAATTAAAATCATTATAGCCATTTTCGTCTTTCTTTTAGATTCACCCTATATATATGAGATATTCTTAAAGTTCCAGCCTCAACATTTTCACGATAAGATTGTAATGAAACCAGCTTTCGGGTTTCATCAATTCGTCTCGTCTGAAAGCATCTTTCACTAACGAATACCGTATCTTAACAATTTGTTGTGTAAATTCAAAAAATTCCAATTCTGCCTAGTTTGGAAAACTTTAATCGTCAATACCTTTCTTGGAATTCTTGTCGAAGTATGAATCTTTCATAAAATGATGGACCGAGACAAATACGTCAGAAATAACATACATGCTTTCTAGTACTCAGAAAATCCAAATTGAGAATGCTTTAAGTACTCATCATAAGGTGTTCATTTCTTTCACACCCATATCGTGTTTTAGGCATGAAAAAGTATTCAAATTAGTTTCGTGGACTCGATCAAGCTAAAGAAACACGTGCATGATTTAACTATAAAAAAGTAAAGGAAGCGAATATGTTGGTGCACATGGCATTGAATGGCATCGAATGGCATCGAATTGCATTCGGAGGAACGAAAAACCTGTTGAATCGCCGGGCCAAGTCCATCCAATTCCCGAGTTCGAACAATCAAACAGTAACGCGACTAGGATGAGGCTCTCTTTTCGGACGACCGACGAGGTGACAGAACTTTCGGATCACCCCTCACGGAGCGATACCGGCGGGTCTCTCGCCTCGCATTCCACCGGTATCGCAGACAAGCGATACGGTACGTCACGAATTGCAGCGATATGAAAGAACTCACGGGTGCGTCGTCCGGAGGGGAAGGAAAAAGGGAGAACGACGACGACGGAACTCCCGGAACTCCACGGTGGAAACCCGAATGGGATCCCGGTCGTCTCGCGTGGGTCTTCGATCACCGACACGAGATGAAGAACACTTCCGGACGACTCCAACGGTTTTTTCCATCGAATTCCCTATCTATAGATAAGTTTTGCGACGAGAAAAGCTGTTCGAGAGGAGACACGTCTGCACGCACCGAGGACGCAACTCCTCGATCGAGGAAGGAGCTATCACGATTATCAAGAGCGAACTTCCTCTCTCGAGTGCCATCTGGCCGTATCCATGGACCATGGTAGTCTTTTCTTTTTTTCGGATCGGCTTCCAGTTTCGTTTGGCGTTCCTCGCAGAACAATACTTGGCTCGTTTAGAGCATGGATAATTAATCTTTTTTTTATTTAGAAACCGTGATGAATTATAAAAATTTCTGATTAATCAATGATTAACTGATTAAAAATTAAATACTTATGAAATGGGTAAACAAGTAAATGAAACGCAAAATAAAATGTACAGTCCTTCGCATTTCATACCACTGCAAAAAAAACTCCCTCATGTGACCATTCCAACAATTAAAAAAAAAACTGAATAAAGGCAACAAATTTTGAGAGCCTAGGCTCTAGATCACAAGTATTAGAATACGGCTTGCCTGAGGCCTAAGTACCTCTACTTAGGCTTGGCCTATCCATCTATATCTTACTAACCTTTACTAATAAGTAACCAATGAGATTATAACACTGCGCTGTATCATTAATTTCATGCAATATAATTCAAAAGAGTGCAGATAAAAATATTTCATAGAAATCACACGGGAAACCTTGGACACACCCACCCACTTATCCGCATCTTGCGAGTTGCGACCACCGACTGCAAACGAATAACATTTGAGCGGGAAATTCAAAGAAAGATTTTGAGTGTGACACAGCAGATTTGCATTTCTTATAGTCGATGAGCTCAACACTCTCGCATATGCTACGAACGAGTTGATCACTCCTGATGGGAGTGCTGCCATGATTAGGGTAATGTCCCTGGAGTCGGGACCGGGGAAAGTAGCCCTCTTAGAATCAGCATTGAAAGTTAATTCTTTGACTAAACACTAACCTTTCAGATAACGTGATCACGTGACAGGTCATGATTAGACAGGCAGTATTGGGTATGAAAAACTTAAGTAAAAAGGTGTCTTACTTTCCTACGATATTTCTGCCGGATCTCCGTCGAATACGCAGATTGAGGAAATTCATCAACATAAATTAACCTTGGGTGGTCCACAGTTTCTGCCACGAGGAATTCGAGGACATAGGCGAACCTGTTCAGTCGATGTCAAAATGTGGTTAAATGAAAGTATGTCATTTAAAAAAGGTTTACCTCACAGTTTTACCTCCTCTCAATAAATTCGGGTTTATTTCTCCCTGCAGGAATTTTTTTTTTCCAGAACCTTGAAGGTGACTTTATGCTTCTTCAGGATTTTGGAAAAGGGTGATATAGATATTGAGTCCACATCACAAAAAATCCCAGTCTTGTCAGCATTGACAATTTCCTACAGGTCCTGTTCAGGAAACGATCAATTGAATTTATTGGAACTGTCAAATTTTCACTAGAGATTAATAAATTTCATAATCCTAGCTTTCTCTCATTCCAGAAATAAAGTCAATGGCAGGCGTAAAAAGTGGAAAGGTCCAAAAGCCTACCCTCAGAGGCAAATCATTTTGATGACAGACTGCTTCCCATAGTCAACAGTGCCATCTGTTGCTCATTCGAAAGCTGCTTCTGATGCCCCATGTTTTTCTCCTTCCAAACTCCTGTTTTCTTACACTTCTGACAAGTCGAGTTGACTGAGTTACTGTTCAAGTCCAGCTCCTTTGAGATGACCTGGTATGATTTCATTTCCTGAATATATTTTCTGATTATTCTCCCCCTCAAATTGTCATCGATGCACAAATAAGTTGAGTTTCGCGATGTGACTTCGTGAGAGTCTGACGGAAGACTGAGAAAGGATAATATATGCCTCCCCTACCCGTAGCGCTCGAAACGGCAGGGGATGCAGGAGACAGCGACGTGAACGACATCTGCATCGACAAGTAAGTACTAAGTAGTTACACGATCTGCTCATCCTCCATAAGAAAGCAAGGCGAGCCATAGGAGCCCATAATCAGAGGGGGGTGAATTCATTCGATAAGCACTGCACTGTAATGATAAGCACTGATAAGCACTGTACGAGCCGTGAGTCACGCCTCGTACAGTGCTTATCAGATGGAACTTTATATTTCCAAACGATGTTCCGATTCGAGGCTCATCTTTCAGATGGCTCGGTGCCATTCGAGACTCTTCCGTCTCTT